TGCGACGGGATCATTTTCCCGGTGGGAATCACTCGCACAGGTTTCTCCTTTCCAAGGACGAAGGAGTAGATTTCTGGATTGCCGTTGATGGCGTAGAGGTTGTCGCGATGGTCGCTGCATACATAGTAGTACTTGGTGTAGTTCTTGAACCGGAACTGTCGGTCTGTTGGCTTGCCGTTCATGTCACATTCTTGGATCGCCTCCTTACCGAGGGAAACAACCGCTCTGCGATCGGTGAGCATGGCGACGCTTCGGATGGCACCTAATTTCTGGAAGGACATCGTCTCTTCGCCGGTCAACCTGAAGCGCTGTGCTCCGTGAAGGCTGCTCCCGTAAACAAGTATGACCGTCTCGGGAGCGAACAACGCCATGTCACGGATCCCAGCTGGAAGGTCCACCTCTTTCAGGATGGTCAACGGGGCTCTTTTCGGTGCCAGAAGTCGGTTCGGAACGGCATAGAGACCTTGAGAAGTGCTTGAGGATACTGCTGCATCAGTCCTAATAACATCACCAGTATTGTCCACTGGAAGTTTCATTGCTGGTCTTGCTGGTATGGGTGATTTGGATATCCGTGGAGGAATCGGTGGCGCTAGGATCGGTCTTCCAGAGGCACTTTCATCAACGGGTGGCATCATCAAGCCCCAGCTTGAATTTGATGAGTGCCTTGCTCGTCCCGTGCCAGCTGCTGGGACAGGAGGTGCCTCTTTCCCTTTCTCTGAAGACAAGAATATGTTGTTGTTGAAGTCGTCCACGAGGGAATTAACCGTGATGTTCGGTGGGAGGCCGTCGACTCGGCCTCTCCCAAGGGCGCTCTCTCTCCTGCAGAGGGGACAAACCAAGGAGCTGGCATTCTTGCGTTTGGTCTTGTCCAGATTTTGAAGACATGCCTTGCAGAAGGTGTGTCCGCAAGCCAGGAGAGTTGCCTTTTCGAAGATGTCAAGACAAAGAGGGCAGACTAAGCTGTCATTGCAGGGTCTTTCCTCCTGCTCTGCCATGCTCAGACCGTCAAGGGTCTAAAATGCCAGAAAAGAAATTGGAAGAATAAACATTCATATTAATTCCTAGTACATGTAATTGGTGAATACCAGGGGGGTGTTTCACAAAGATCCTAAGTCAAACTTAACTCTAAGTTGGACTTAAATATTATGGAGAGCCATTTGTGGCCTTAAAATAAAATATGTTCAAAGTGAAAATTCAAGTATTTTAGACTTTTTTCCACATCAAGAACATGAATTCTCCTTGATAATAGAAAATTATGAATGATTTGAATCAACATTTTATGCCTCTTAAAAAAACTTTTACAAATATTTTCAAAGATGCTAACGGCTTTCCATAATTTTTAAGTCCAACTTAGAGATAAGTTCAACTTAGGATATTTGTGAAACACCCCCCAGGATTGTACTAGAGAAGTGTAGCTTAGATTGCAATGAGGTAAACTTATGTTACACCACAATAACAAAATTTAGATCCAAATACCAGCAGTCTTACAGAAAGTCAACAGATAAGATTGGTGGTTGATTTTATTATGTTCGTTTATGAATGTGGAAAAGACGGCTCTCTAATAACTTTTATTTAGAATGACTTGAAGTCATTCAATTCATCACATGATTCTGTGCATGAAAAAATGAGAATTAGTTCCCTTATGACAACTAGCATGTTAAGAACTTAGAAACAGAAAATAAAATTACCAACACAAAAATAAAAATAAAAATGAAAAGGCATGACTTCAAACTTTTGATTGGTTGCAAGTTAAAAACAGAAAATCAAAATAGAAACAAAAATTGCATTCAAAATGAAAAGGCATTATATAAGATGAAAATTAAATTTACTTTTAAACTCTTAACAATCGCATATAAACGTAAACACATTGATGCTCCCAGCTCCCAGGTATTTTGAAAAATAATATTTCAAGTCATCGACCAAGTTGACTTTAAGACAAAATACTTAGTGATCAGCATTGTGACGTCACATAGTCAATCCAAAATTATGTGCAATGAAGGCGTCACACTGACTACATGTACATGCATGTCTTATAATTGTGTGTAGCTTGAAAATACTGCTTACGTTGACCCTATGCCCTTTAATAGCCAAAAGCTTTAACTGAATAAAATACTCATATTTTTGACAAAAGTATTGAATTGAATTATTGAATACTGTCCTATGTTTACATATGAACTTACAAATCTCAATTTTCTATCCAAAGAAATGCTTGGTTTACTACGAGGGTACTTACATCATGTGATGACTTGCTCTATAAGCTGTAAATCGCTGAAACAATATGATTCAAACATCACTCTAGAACTAGTGTAGCGTTGGTGTTAAAACACACCATGAGCTATGCATGGAGAGAGACGCCAAGAATCCGCCATTGCTCTCCCGTAACGTGAGGAGAAAGCCAGCGAGCAAATCTTTGCTTCCTCGTTGAGAAACTCCAGCTATACGTGAGCAGAGACGCCGAGTATGCGCCAATCTTTCCTAAAAACTTGAGGAGAAAGCAAGTGAGGCTTTGCTTCCTTGTTGAGAAACTCCTGCTATATCATATGGAAAGCTGGACCTAACCATCAGCTAAATGAGCAGAGAGACGCAGAATACGTGCCAATCTTTCCTGAAACTTGAGCAGAAAGTTCCTCAATCAAGCGCTGGTCTCCAAGTGCGCGCAAAATCGTGTGACCTCTACGTACCACACGTGAAAAGAGTCAGCAATGATTTATCAAGTTTTCCTGAAACTAATGAGAAAAGCTAATATGAGAGGTTTCTTCCTCGTTAATTATTGGCACTCTTATATCTGATTCAGGATCTATTTTTGAAATACAAGATTTATTAATAGAAATATTTTTGTGTACGTGATAGCTCGAATGGCAATGCCCCACCACCATTGTTATTTCCTTGTTGTTGGTGCCGCAACCTTTCATACTGTACAGAGAGTTGATGAGTTGATTTATTTTGGTCATGAAAGTAGATTTGTGGTGAAAGAGAGAGAGAGAGAGAGAGAGTGAGAGTGAGTGAAGGGAAGTATGAACAGATTGTTATTAAGCAAATAATTACCGTTGGTGAAGGTGATGGAACAAACGAGGAAAGATAGCGTATACATTCTGATCGACGAGGAAGTGATAGTTTGCCATCGCCTGAAAACCAAAAGGTGATTATTTGCTTTATATTCCACATCTAAAACAATTTAATTACAAAAAGAAAAAGACGTGTATGCATCTACGTAAAAGACACCTAGGCCCAAATTCACACCAAAAAAGTTTAACCCAACCCCTTGGGGGTACGGTGCGCGCATGTGTTTTCTTTAATTGCGCTCATTGGTAATGCGCGCTTAATTACGCCTGTTTTGCGCGTTTGGATAATCTTCAGTGAAAGTGCGTAACCCTTTGTAGATAGTACCTCTATCTTCAATGAAAGTGCGTTGCACTTTCATTGCTTCTGCTTCTCCCATCAATAATGGGCGAACTATCTTTCCTCACGTGATTTACTTTTGACCAATCGTAGAGCAAGATTCTTAGTATGTGGGATATAAATAATTATATTACTGCCATTGCGAATGTTAAAGGGAAATATTAAAGTATTCCAAATGTAATATATCATAAAATATATGATTTAAATAGAGAGCGACTAGTGGCATGAACGGCCTGCCGTAGTTAATTCCAACTTAAAGTCAATCTTATCTTTGTGAAACCCCCCCCCCCCCCCCCCCCAGGCCCAGAAGAATAGAGTGAATACTGTACATCCAGTCATACAATAAAATAATCTACAAATTTGGATTTCAGTTGCAATTAATGCATTGAAAGGATCAAAGAGCATCAAGTACTTTAAGAGGCAAGGAGATGTATGTTTTGGTTTTGAAAAGGAAATACAGCAGGATTTCATGATACCGGTACTGCTTTTCAGACTAAAGATCACTTTTTGTGGTAAATGTGATCATGAAAAAGTATTTCCTCATATCTGAGGTCTGTGGATCCTAAACTTAAGTTCTGGTAAAAAAAAAAATGAATTCTCACAGAATCAAACAAAACTTACACTGAATGTTCAAGATTAGAAATAAATGTCATTTGCCAAACAATTTCGGTAGAAAATGCATGCTGGCTGAGAAATGAGCATAGAAAGATAAGGAAATAGAGGTAGGTAACCCCGACACAATTTGTGTAGTCCCATACACATCTTACTGTGTACAGTGCTTGTTACTTTACCAAGACTGGGCCAAATTTATTATGATTTTAATGACTTTAGAACCTTGCAGTACACACCAATTCGTACATGCTACATGATCAACTGTTTCTGATCCATTCCACACCTTTTCTTTCACATGACCAGAACTCACCTTTATCCCTTTTTATGATAAGCATAAAATGAAATTAACTTATCATTGAGAAATATCCTGAGTGGAAACAGAAGGGGAAAAAATCTGAGGAAATCATTAGGGAATGTCTAAGAAAAAATAGACAAAGACCCCCCCCCCCCCCTTGAAATAAAAAAGGAATCTACATATACATTGTACTTTGAAAGATGAGGTCACTTACAACCTTGGATTGCATTTTCAAATACCAAACTCAAAAGCAATTTTTCATCTGGTGTTTGTGAAAATTTCATTTTAAGAACTAATTTTTTCTTCTTGTTACCTATTTCTGTTTATTTTATAAGTAGGTTGATCTTCAGGTCTCAACTATATAAATCATTTTGATTTCTTCACCTAAAATTCTCCCTTTTCTTCTATTTCAAGCTTTTATTATCTTGTCTGTCCTTTCAATTCCCCTGTCTTTTTTCATTTTCTTGTTGATTTTTTTTTGTGCAAAGTTATTCCTTCCTTTGCATGTTACTGTATTCTATCTGACAAATGTTCAATGTTTTGTATTTCAGTTATGTTTTATCTTTTGGAAATTCAATTTGTTCCAGTCTTTGGCAACTATTTTGAATGTATGTTTTTTAATCAATAAACCAATTCAATCAATCAATACAAATTGTTTTCCTTCTCCACCTTTTTTATCTGCAGGAGGGATAAGATGAAGACTCTAAAGGAGAAGAACGACATAAAGAAGGAGGAGAAGAAGAAACTGAAGGAAGAGCGTGATTTGGAGAGACAGAAGAAACAAGAGGAGAAAGCAAAAGCAGAGGCAGAGAAGGAGCAAAATGGTGGGAAGATAGGTGAGGAGGAGAAAGACGAGGAGGATGATGATGGAGATGGTAATGGTGATGATGATGATGATGATGATGGTTATGACAATGACCGGAGGTGGTGGTGGTGGTGATGATGATGATGGTGATGGAGATGGTGATGGTGATGGTGATGGTGATGGTGATGGTGATGGTGATGTGATGGTGATGATGATGATGATGGTTATGACAATGACCGGAGGTGGTGGTGGTGGTGATGATGGTGATGGTGATGGTGATGGTGATGGTGATGGTGATGGTGATGGTGATGATGATGATGATGGTTATGACAATGACCGGAGGTGGTGGTGGTGATGATAATGATGGTGGTGATGATGATGATGATGGTGATGATGATGGTAATAATGATGGTGGTGATGATAATTGAGATGATGATGATGATAATGATGGTGTTTATGATGATGATAATGATGGTGGTGATGATGATGATGAAGGTGATGATGATTATGCGTATGACGATGATGGTGATGATGATGATAATGATGATGGTGATGATAATGGTGATGGTGATGATGATGATGATGATGATGATGGTGATGATAATGGTGATGGTGATGATGATGCTGAAGTTGATGATGATGATGATGCGTATGACGATGACCGATGGTGGTGGTAATGGTGATGATGATGATGATTATATAATGATGGTGGTGTGATGATGATAATGATGGTGGTGATGATGATGATGATGATGATGATTATATAATGATGGTGGTGTGATGATGATAATGATGGTGGTGATGATGATGATGGTGATGATGGTGATGATGATGATGATGATAATGATAATGATGATGGTGATGATGATGGTGACGATGGTGATGATGATAGTTGAGATGATGATGATGATAATGATGGTGGTGATGATGATGATGATGGTGATGATGATGATGATGATAATGATGATGGTGATGATGATGGTGATGATGGTGATGATGATAGTTGAGATGATGATGATGATGATAATGATGATGGTGATGATGATGATAATGATGGTGGTGATGATGATGATGATGGTGATGATGATGATGATGATAATGATGATGGTGATGATGATGGTGATGATGGTGATGATGATAGTTGAGATGATGATGATGATAATGATGGTGGTGATGATGATGATGGTGATGATGATGGTGATGATGATGGTGATGATGGTGGTGATGATGATGATGATATAATGATGGTGGTGTGATAATGATAATGATGATGGTTATGACAATGACCGGAGGTGGTGGTGGTGATGATGATGATATAACGATGGTGATGTTAGTGGTGGTAATGGTGTTAATGATGATGAATATGGTGGTTGTGGTGATGATGGTGGTACGTTAGTGGTGGTAATAATGAATGAAGACGGTGGTGTGATAATGATAATGATGGTGGTGGTGATTGTGATGATGTTGGTAGTGATGATGACAATGAAGATAAATTAACAACTAATATCTGGCAGATACATCTCACAATATGAATGTAATACTGCACTCTCATTTTTGCTACTAAATAATAATAGTCATCCTTTAAAAAAATAGACAAAGTGGGAACTCCCAACCCTAATCAGTTTGTACTCCCAGAAGCCACTTTTATTATCAAAGACAATATTCTTCTGCTCTAGATGGCGCAACTACCAAACCTGCTCCCAAGGCAGGGAAGAAGACGAAGATAGAACCAAAGAAGGAACCGAAGAAGGAGGAAGAGGAGAGCCTGGACCTTGCGTCTGTTGTCAAGCGGAGGCGGCTCATGGTGGCAAAGACCAAAGCTGAGAAAGAGGTCCAGGAGAAGATTGAGAAGGAACGGTAAGATGGTGTCCATGATCAGAGAGGGTTGGCACAGCTGCCAACCATTCCTATTTTGATAATACTGAAAATGCATCACAGTAAATTTTATTACTCCGGTTATCGGATTCAGTCTTACCCGCACATAATGTATGCACATTCTCCACTCCCTGGGGAGCATTCCAGCCAGTCGCCATTTTACAAGTGCACACTTGTCATCCAAACACATTAACTTTCGCATCCTACTGGGTACCCATTTAACACCTGGGTGGAGAGTGGCAAATGTAGATTAATGTCTTGCCAAAGGACATGACATTAGTGTGATGGCAGGAATCGAAGCCAGTCTGGTGACTTATCCACTAGACCGCAACATCTCTATTTTGGAGGAATGATTCCTATTTTCAGCGATCAAACTAATATTGTGAACTCTAGAGACCCCTCTCTTTCTGAACACTGCTGTATAAAATAAAAAATATACAAGGTAAATTCGACACCTTTTCATCCTCTATTCTTTCTCACCCTCCATCCTTCTGCAGACGTCTCAAAGACCAGGAGGAGATGAAGAAACAAAAGGCAGAGGAGCAGTTCGAGAAGACCTTCAAGGTATGTACTAAACAACTACCATTTTAATTGTTTCTTGAAATACGGTAAGCTTTTAAATCCTGAAAAGGATAAAATGTTGAGAGATTCAAAACCATTGATTTTCGATCAAAATTTGCCTATTTTTCAACAACATTCTTGCCCATGTATATTGTTTTCAAAGACATTACATTTTAGTCAGGGAAAAAAAAAAATTTCAAGATGTTTGTTAAAATGGCATTTAATTTGTCTTGTGAACAAAGGAAAAAACATTTTGTAAAATCTGTGGTTCACAGGACCTTTTTCGTAATATCTTTAGGACCTACTAGTATCGTGTCTATTGTGTCTTTCATGTTGGTGTGCGTAAATGACTTGCAGTGACAGGTGCGGTGCGTGGTGCCAGTGTGTGTACATACACGAATGCTGCATGCACGCTGTACGATTACTTTTTGATCGAGCTTGTGCTTTGATTTTGATTAAAAGTTTGAATGAAGGTGTTTTACCCCGGGTTTAACCACAGAATATTCATAAAACAATAATTTAAATGTAAATAACTATGCATCATGAGCCACTTGTGTTTTCTTAAGAACCCCTTTAAAAATCGTGTTGCTCTTTACTCGGATATCGCAACCCTGAATCGCATTTGATTCCACATTTGGCGTCCATTGTGCGAGCGCGAGCATACAGCCAGTTAGCTAGCCTAGCCTCGTGGTTGCTGCTTTCCCCAAGGTCCGCAATTAAGGCATACTTTTTTCCGTCAGCAAAATATCGAAAGTTGGGGGTGCGCCTTATATAGTCAGGTACAGGATATTTGAGTCCTCAAATGCTACATTTTAGTGGTTTTCAAAACTCTCTGTGTCTCAACATGAATTACATAATGCAAATAAAGAAGAGGATCTACTATTTGAAGTTAAACTACGTTCCTAATTTGAAAGGAAGAGAGTTTTTTTTTTCCAGTTTTTTTTTCTTCAGTCTCGATAAATTATGCCCTGTCACAAGGCATTTGCCGGCCGAATCTCTCCGTGTCTTCAGCTCACTCACCTGTATGATGCAGCTCACTTACACAGGGGATAACGAATCACCACGCGAAAACTAGCCTGTCCACATTTCTGTTCGGACTCGGAGGAAAAAAATTCTGTCATTTTTAGTTTTAAAACAACATTGTTACTGGGTCTAACTTAGTTCACAAGCCCTTCAACTGTGCCTCGTAATAAAATGAAAGTATTTTCGAACGCTGTCACTGAAATAAGAGCCGATTCTGATGTTAAGAAAAAGACCAATGTTGGCCTTTTTTGTGGTGGCTTTTTGTTAACCAGATCAGATCGCGTCTTATTTCAGTGTTCGAAAAATACTTTCACTTTCATTATACAAGGCACAGTTGAAGTGCTTGTGAACTAAGTTGGACCTAGGTCTAGTAACAATGTTGTTTTTAAACTAAAGATGACAGATTTTTTTTTTTCCAGATTTTTTTTTTGTTTTTGTTTGGGGGGGGGGGATCTTTGAAATAAGGGTGAGCCTTATAGTTTTGTGATTTGCTCCCAGCTCCCTAGTATTGCGATGATGTATGGTTGTACGCTTTAAATTAAGACGTGTTCATCATTGAAAAGGGTCATGGAAATTTTCATTATCCTGCTCTGGAAAGTCATGGAAAGTCATGGAATTTTAAAAATGTGTAAATGTACGAACCCTGAAAAGACAAAGATCTACTTTAAGTTGGACTTAACAATGGCAGGCCATTCATGCCACTGGTCGCTCTCACCATTGGTCTCTCAATTATGATCTTTATGTAATATTTTTTCCTTTAATAATAACTATAAAAAAACGTAGATTTGGGACCATGATTTGTACGTCCCTTGATAAATCAATGCCAGGAATGGTTAGAGTAACTAATGGCATGAACAGCCTGCCATGGTTAAGTCCAACTTTAAGACAATCTTAGTCTTTGTGAAACAGCCCCCTGTTTGGGGAAGTTTGTTATAGTCCACCAATCACCCATCCTCTTTTCTTTCTTTTTCCAGGAGGGAATCGCAAACGCCAAGCTCGTCTTACGGAAACACCCGATTGGCTACGACCGGAACCACAGCCGATACTGGCTCTTCTCTCCGGTAGTCCCTGGACTATTCGTGGAGAAGGGCTGGGCCTCGAAGGACATCCATTATTCTGCTCGGCTCGACGGTGAGACCGACAACGAGGAGGAGGACGGGATGGACGTCGAGCAGGTGTCTGGAGAAGAGGGGGAGGAGACGACAATTTGGAAAGAGAAAACGTGAGTCTCATTTCGTTGGATTACCTTGTCAAATCCATACCTATTACACTTAGTGTGAAATACTGGATCTGGGGGGTGTTCCACAAAGACGAAGATCAACTTTACGAAGATGATTTGGAAAGAGAAATTTGAGTCTCATTTCATGGGACGCCCTTGTCAAATGCATCCCTAGATACAGTTCAGTTAAAAAAATACTTTTCTGTTCGCAGGACATACTTTAGGATTTGGTTTAAGGTAAAAGTGTGATTTCTCACAATGATATGTAACTATTTTATTGTCATATAGATATATTCTTTTTCATGGTCAGCAAATGACCTAGATAACCACAAATATCCACAGATCTTCAAGGCATGAAGAGATTCTACCTTGTAAATTTTAAAATAATCACTCCTACAGCAATGGAGGTGCTACACAAATAGCCTCTGTTTCCCCTTTTCAAAGAATACGTCCGCCTGTGTATCAAGTAGTGCACTACTTGTGCATAAATGAATAATGATAGCATAACTTTCATGAGCACGTATCCAGTATTTTGTCTCTGTGTATTTCATAATTTGGTCTGCAATGACCTTAATCTGCTCATGCTCAGACTGCAACTATGAACTGGCTCATCGGCAAATGTTTTGTGTCGCGAAAAAGGTGGTCAGCTCCGGTTCATGAAAGTTCCTGGTTTCTTGTGGTATCTTGGCTCTGCTTCGAAATACAGCATTAAAGGGATTGGGTATCTTCCTCTCAGATTCTGAACAAAACCCTGGATTTAGCTCATGCTGCAATCATAGTTATAAACCTTTAGGTCAGTCAAGAATCCACTTTTACAAGCCGATCGCCTGTCTGATTATCAAGATATTTATGATTGGAATTCGGAATTTCAAAAACCTGTGTTTTTTTTTTTTAACACTACAGTCTATTGGGGAAAATGAGTATGGTACAACCTGTCAATCAAAATTTACTTTTTGAGGCACTTCATGATCATTTAGATTTTTTTTTTTAGGGCTTCAATATTACACCATATTACACCATCACAGACACTGATAACACGTTGGGCCATGCATCTCAGATTTGTAAAACTGGAAACATTGTTAAAAATTGTTACATTTATTTCTATGCTGACTGCTTTTTTCCATATGCAGAGTTCCTAAGATTGGTCAGAACATGTGGTTCCAGTACGACACTGTCAAAGAGTTGGAGAGTCTTCTCGTAGCCTTAGACAACCAGGGGATTAGAGAGAGCGCCCTCTTTGCCAAGATTCAGAAACATCACAGTGAAGTTTCAAAACTTGTCATGGCTGCTAGGAGGTAACAAACAAAAAACAAAAACAATTCTAGCAGTAAACTCTTTTTTTCTTCCCCTCTTTGCCAATTTGTCTAGTTGTCTCTCCCCCCCCCCCCCCCTCTCTCTCTCTCTGTTTGAGATGTTTACTAATATCCTGTCCATATTTATATTCACAATGTGAAGTCCTTTAATTCTGTATTTTTTCTAATTTTTAATCAGTTTCTCGTCCATCACTTCACCTTTGCATCCCCTTCTCTCTTTGTTTCTGTTGACAAAGTAAAGATTGTCTTTATAAATATAAATGGGTTTTTTAATTTGAAGTTCAATATCAATCCAAACATTGCCATTGAGATGGAGAGAGGAAAAAATATGCACTTTAGATGAAAGATTGTAACACAAATTTATTTGTGTGGTAGCGCTATAGCAGTTAAAGCCCGTCTGCACAAGTTTGGCCAGGGGGAGTAGACCTCCCTGCATGGTCACTGACAGGTGGTTATCTCATCAAATCAGCTCTCAATTAAAAGGGGATCATGGGGGACCAACAGGCACCAATTAGGCGTTGTTTGCTATATAGAGGGCGCAAGTACATGTAGCTAAAAGTAGTGCAGTGGGGCTTTAAAGAAATGTTGTCATTCTTTCTATCTAGATCTGGGCCTGAGCTTCGTGATTCTGACGGTCCGCGGGAGCTCCTGGACTCGTTCAAGGAGGACTTGAAGGACATTGAGACACACATCAGACAGGGAAACCTGGGAGGGGTCTCCAAGCTTGAGAAATGGGAGAAACAACTAGACTCGGCAACAAAGCTCAAAGAGCTGGTAAGTGTCTGAAAGGTGTAAGATTTTGTTATGGTATTATAAAAGTGTTTAGTGAGGTATTAGAGGGTGTCTGTAAGGTGTAAGATTTGTTTATGGTATTCATAAAGTGATTAGTGAGGTGTTAGAGGGTGTCTGTAAGGTGTAAGATTGTGTTATGGTGTTAGTAAAGTGTTTAGTGAGGTGTTAGAGGGTGTCTGTAAGCTGTAAGATTGTGTTATGGTGTTAGTAAAGTGTTTAGTGAGGTGTTAGAGGGTGTCTGTAAGCTGTAAGATTGTGTTATGGTGTTAGTAAAGTGATTAGTGAGGTGTTAGAGGGTGTCTGTAAGGTGTAAGATTGTGTTTATGGTGTTAGTAAAGTGATTAGTGAGGTGTTAGAGGGTGTCTGTAAGCTGTAAGATTGTGTTATGGTGTTAGTAAAGTGTTTAGTGAGGTGTTAGAGGGTGTCTGTAAGCTGTAAGATTTTGTTATGGTGTTAGTAAAGTGTTTAGTGAGGTGTTAGAGGGTGTCTGTAAGGTGTAAGATTTGTTTATGGTATTCATAGAGTGTTTAGTGAGGGTGTCTGTAAGCTGTAAGATTTTGTTATGGTGTTAGTAAAGTGTTTAGTGAGGTGTTAGAGGGTGTCTGTAAGCTGTAAGATTTTGTTATGGTGTTAGTAAAGTGTTTAGTGAGGTGTTAGAGGGTGTCTGTAAGCTGTAAGATTTTGTTATGGTGTTATTAAAGTGTTTAGTGAGGTGTTAAAAGGTGTGAGCAGGATGTGAGGAAGTGTTCCTATGGTCATGATATGGTGTCAGAATTTAAGTCTAATCTAAGGAAAGTGTTAGTAAGGTGTTGGTGAAGTGTTGACCAGGCATTAGTGTGATGAGTTCGGTGTAAAACCGCTACAACTATATGTCAGTGTATTTGAATGTACTAACTTCTTCATCTTAAGAATAACTTTTCCCTGACGACGGATAGTCAACCTGTTCGAAATGTCGAGCCACTCCCGCCACTCATCCTCTCCAAGCGCTATAGTTCTCCTTAGAACTATAAGCTAAGCAAGATAACCAACAGTCCTTTTCAGGACTACACACCCTCAAGAAAGATTACCAAGAGTCCTTTTCAGGACTCCTCAATCCTCCCTCTCTCTCACATGGTGCACCCGCAAGCCTGTTGTATAATTTTCTCCTGGTAACAATGTTCTTCAAATCTCTCATTCATTTCAGAAACCTCTCCTTATTGAGAGCCAGGCCTGTGTGAATCTCAAGTTTCTGCAGGGTAAGATGGCCCCCACCAAACCCAAGCCTAATAAACCTATCTATGGCTATGTAGATGAAGACGAAGATGACAGCCAAGAAGAAGGTAAGTCTCTAGAAAGATTTGTATCGCTGCTAACCTCTTTTTGCTGGTCTGGCTATTGCCACATCATAGACAAACCTGCCAACCACTACGATTTAGTAGTATTTTATACGATTTTAGAAGAAACAAACAACAGTACAATTTACCTCAATAAATATGATTGTCAACAACAACACAAACATATTTTATTTTGTGTTAGTGTGTGCCATTATCAATGGCAAAATGCCTATTCTGTTCTGTAAAGTATCCTGCAAGCATCTTGCATCGACAATTTGGGGATGTTCATTTGTGACGAAATCATGCATATTCAACCAATGATCCACCAAAAAAATTCTTCCTATATGCAGGAACGGTAAGAGGCATTGATCTGCGTAACAGTCCGTGTTTATTTTTAAGAATACAACTTTGGGGATTACAGAATACAGTTTTTGAATTCCATAGGTTGGCAGGTCTGCATAGATGTCAGACAACCAGTCTGCCTGCACCTCCATATCTACCTTTTAGTCTTATTTTTCAGTTGATTTGAGAAGCCATCTGGAAACAGAGAACATGAGGAAAGAAGGGGACACATACCGGGGGGGTGTTTCACAAAGATTCTAAGTCGAACTTAACTCTAAGTGGGACTTAAATATTATGGAGAGCCATTTGTAGCCTTGTAATGAAATATATTAAAAAGCGAAAATTCAAGTATTTTAGACTTTTCATAAATTCCACATCAAGAACATGAAATTTCCCATGGTAATAGAAAATATGAATGATTTGAATCAATATTTTATGCCTTTTAAAATAACTTTTAGAAAATATTTATAAGGAGGCTAACAGCTTTCCATAATTTTTAAGTTCAACTTAGAGATAAGTTCAACTTAGGATCTTTGTGAAACACCCCCGGTTGTCTGAAATCTATGAAGCGGTGATCACCAGAATGGCTTCCTTTGGCTTTCTTGTGTCTTTCACTTTCTCCTTTTATAATTACAGTGAAACTTGTCTATAAAGACCACCCACGGGGGACAAGAAAAGTGGTCTTTATGTTCGGGTTCTTTTAGTACCTGTCTACAAAGACCACTTTTTTGTTTCCCTTGGGCGGTCGCTATAGACGGGTTTGACTGTATTTTCTGTATTTGTAACACACATAACTCCATCCCACCCATTTCAAATAATGGACTATTCCCTTTCGTTCAACTTACTGCACAGGCTGGACACATCCATTCTCCAGTAGGGAAGGCAGGTAGCGCAGGACAGAGGCAGAAGAATTTGTAACACACATAACTCTTATTTGGTCCAAGATATTTGAATGACCCATTTCAGAACCTGATGAGTGTAAACAAGGGAGGAGGCGCGATAGCTCAGTCGGTAGAGCGGTGGTCTCTTAATCCGGTGGCCCGGGTTCTAAACCAAGTCAATGCGCTAAGCGCCCTTTGGTAAGGCACTAATCCTCATTACTTGGTCCCTCGGAGAGGACCTAAAGCCGTCAGTCCTCTAGTTGCTTACTTACAAGCATTTATTGCTTTCTTAGCTGTCAGGTAAAATAACCACCACTATCTATCTTATAACTTGTTTTTACTTGTGTTTCTTATAGATGACAAGCCAATTGAGTCAGAGCGGGTTGTGAGGTGGCGTGAGCTCGTGAACAAAGCCACGTCTCTCTCGCGGCTTCACATCCTTCTCTGTATTTACGAGATCTCCGTCAAATGGGAAAAGTCGGCCGCAAACGCGAAATGCAAGATCTGCAGACGGAAGGGTAACGAGGATAAAGTCATCATGTGTGATAAGTGTAATCAGCCTTTCCATCTCTTCTGCCTCCGTCCTGCGCTACCTGCCTTCCCTACTGCAGAATGGATGTGTCCAGCTTGTGCAGTAAGTTGAATGAAAGGGAATAGTCCATTATTTGAAATGGGGGAGATGGGAGAGTTATGTGCATTACAAATTCAATCAAGTATCGATCTTTTCTGCCTTCCCTACTGGGGAATGGATGTGTCCAGCTTGTGCAGTAAGTTGAATTAAAATGAATAGTCCATTATTTGAAATGGGGGGGGGGGGGATGGAGTTATGTATGTGACAGATTCAATCAACTATCGATCTCTTCTGCCTCTGTTCTACACTACCTACCCACCCTATTCGAAACTATGCTGAGATTGACTCCGAGATACAAAGCGCACTATGCTTCTGTTTTCATCTTTGAATTGAATTATTCTCTTTAACAGCCAATCACCGTGCGTACCGGGAGAGACCGAAACTACGCCGAGATCGACTCGGACCCATCCTCAGAATCCTCAGAAGACGACCCTGAATCTGACTACGATGAGGAGGATGATGACGATGATGAATCGGACGAGGAGGTCACAGGGAGGCGCGTGACGAGGGCGGTCAAGGGCAAGAGGGTCAAGAAGAAGGCTCCTCCGGCGAGGGCCACTAGAGGGCGTCCTGTAAAACGAGGGCGTGAGAAGCCAGCGCCCAAAGCAAAGAGATTACCTAAACTAGATAAAGAGGTATGGGGATTGTGTTTTTTCCTTTCCTTGGTTTTATTCCTCTGTTAGTTTTGGTCCTAGGACAACTTCCCCCTAGCATACCTGCCAACTACTACGATTTTGGCGTAATTATTACAATTTTTTTGTTTTAAATTCCCCTTCGATTTTGTGTCACAAAATTATGATTTTTTTTTTTTCACCACCGCTCCCCTGGCACTTTTCAGACCGACGCTTGGCCGTGCCCGGGAGAGCGCCGGCATGGTACAGTGGATAAAAATGTTTCCCAGCTCAATCACTGTCAACTCACCACTCAGAAACTGGGACCGAATGTCCGAATTTCTATTTGTCTGTCATCTTTGGTTTGAAAAACAGCATTGTTTACTATTATTATTATAACTAAATCAAATGCAACTCGAGGTAAAATCGTGTGAGTTTTCGGTGACGGACCTGGGATACTTCTGTTGTTGTTCTACCATAGTTGATCAACCATGATGAAAATGATTTTTTTTTTTTTTTTTAATTAAAAAAAAACATGGCGCCTAAGTATTCGTCTGTAAATCTGGGAGTGTACTCGAGTACCTCATTACACACATATGCACAGCCCTTTTTTTTTCTCCTCCAGGGTCTATTTCATCAGGGGAATTTTGAGCTTTTAGTCCTTGTTTTGTTTTGTTTTTTGCGGGGGGAGGGGGTTGCATAAGTGTTGAAAAATGAGTTTAAAGTAAAGGAAAAGGGCATTCCGACATGTTGAAAATACCAAAAACTCCCCTGCCGTGGGAGGGGGGACAGCTCTCTCCCACACCCACCCCCCACTCGGTCACCCCCCTCCCTCACAGTCGTTGTAAAAAACGATTACTATTTTTAGTCTTCAAAGGTCGGCAGGTATGCCCTAGGATAGTTGTCCGGGGGGTAGTCGTCCTACAGGGTGGTTGTCTTAGGGGGTAGTTGTCTAGGGGGTAGTTTTATATTTATTTTATTTTGGACAATTTTCTTTACAGTCTCTCATTCATTTGTTCTGTTTATTGCTAAATGAAAAAATTGCTTTCCTTGGTTTTGTTTCTCTGTTAGTTTTATATTTTATTTTTTATTTTGGACAATTTTCTTTACAGTCTCATTCATTTGTTCTGTTTATTGCAAGTGGGCGGCGCGCTGTCAATCAATTATTAAAATCAAAATGGCTGCCAAGAGCCCAACACCAACCTGTCTGCAACGGCCACCTGTCTACAAGGGCCACTATTTGTGTTTCCCTTGGGCGGTCGCTATAGACAGGTTTGATTGTATATAAAATGACTAAAGACTGTTTTTTCTTTAATCCTTGCAGGCAGCTGATGGCATTATATCTAGGATGCTGAAATACAGGGACAGCAAACCACTCAGACAGCCACCTACTAAAGCTGAGGTTAGTAGAACTCTTGTTTTAAAGCCCGTCTGCACTAGTTTGGCCTGGAGGGATTAGACCTACATAATGGAGATGGTAGAATCGAGGAAGCCTCCAAGACGTCCAGCTCAGGAAATGTTGACCGGTACACAGTACCGCGGTGTAAAAAATCATGGGGGTGATAGGTCATTTTGCGTTGCTGCCCCACGTGCCTGGAATGCCCTACCCTTGGACTTGAAGTTGAGCTCATCAATTAGAACCTTTCAACAAAAATTGAAGACTTTGTTGATGAATAGGGTGTACTATTAATGTTAGGATTATTAATTAGAATAATTTGTATTACTTTTGGTTATTAGTAGTATATCTACAGTAATGTTGACCATTTGTCACCTTTTCATTTTGTAATGTGTATGATATGCAGATCTGTGGGCCCAGGGTGCCTATATGTCGGCATTGTTGGGCGCAATATAAATGTAGAATTATTATTATTATTTGTTTTCTCTCTCTCTTCTGTCAGGTTCCAAATTATAAGAAGTTGATCAAGAATCCTATGGATCTACAGGTGATGAAGACAAAGTGCGAAGGAAAGGATTATTCCAAGTATCCTGAATTCTTTGATGATATGCAGTTGACTTTCAGCAATGCTGCCAAGATGTATGAAAATGTGAGTCCATCTTAATCACTCTCTCTCCCTCTCTCTTTCTCTCTCTCTCTTTTGCTCTCTCTCTCTCTCTTTCACCCTCTCTCTTTTCACTCTCTCTCGCTCTCTCACTGTCTGTTCCTTCTCACTCACTTTCTCGCTCTCTCTCCCTCTCTCACTCTCTCACTGTCTGTTCCTTCTCACTCTCTCTCTCTCTCTTTCCACTCTCTCTCGCTCTCTCTCTCCCTCTCTCACTCTCTCACTGTCTGTTCCTTCTCACTCACTCTCTCTCTCTCTTCTTTTCACTCTCTCGCTCTCTCACTGTCTGTTCCTTCTCAATCACTCTCTCTCTCTCTTCTTTTCACTCTCTCTCGTTCTCTCACTGTCTGTTCCTTCTCACTCTCTCTCTCTCTCTCTCTTCTTTTCCTCTCGCTCTCTCTCTCTCTTTTCACTCTCTTGGATGGTGGTGGTGGTGGTGGTTGCAATTCCATTACTATCATCATCGTCATGTTTGTTTCATCTTTCTCTGGCTGTCTTTCCTTCTCAGTGTACGTTGTAAATTCTAGCAATTATCTAGGTCGCTTGGCTAACAAAAAGGGAAGTGAGAGCTCTGTATAATAATAATAATAATAATAGTGGGTTCTTGTATAGCACTCATGTCAATCAGATTTGACCCTCCTGGCGCTCCCGATTATTACCCTGGCTTTAGCACGGCTGCCATACGCGCTCTAGCATTTCAAAAAATTAATTCCTACCAGGTACCCATATACCATAGGTGCCATAATAAAATGTCTGTGAAGTTGATGTAAAGCCCTTTCTCCGATTATCTATTACCCTGTATAATTGTACACAGTACAAGGAACATGTACGGACCCAACACTGCACCCTGTGGGGCACCGCTGATTACAGGCTGCCTTATACACAAACACCCTTTTCTCATTCTTATCTTTTTTAGGACAACTACATCTTGCAGCAAGTCCGCAAGACCAAGGATTACTGTGGGAACCTGATCAAATGGCATCTAGAAGCCGGTCGTGACCTCTGGAATAAATATCTTGAAGAAGAGGAGCAAGAAGAAGAAGAGGAGGAGCAAGAAGAAGAGGAAGAGGAAGAGGAAGAGGAGGAAGAAGATGAGGAAGGAGAAGAGGAAGAGGAAGAGGAAGAGGAGGAGGAAGAAGAAGAGGAGGAAGATGAGGAAGGAGAAGAAGAAGAAGAAGAGGAGGAGGAAGAAGGAGAAGAGGAAGAAGAGGAGGAGGAGGAGGAGGAGGAAGAAGAAGAGGAAGAGGAAGAAAAGCCAACTCGATCATCAAGACGTTCAAGGAGGAGATAACTCCTTCGCAGCTTTAATTCCAGTTTTATTGTTCTTCTCTTAAATCAGGAATACCTGTTTTCGGACTGCTACCAGACTCTAGACCCTGTCAGTCCTCTGTTTCAGGCCATTTTAGGCTTATCATCGTACAGGAAACATGGGTCTCCAACATTTTTTCTTTATCTATTGATAATTGTGCGTGTATTTCAATTTTACATTAGTATGTTGGCAAAGTCATTGATATGTTGTGTGTATGTATGACGTATAAAGTTATAAAAGAAGATTGCGCAGTGTATGTTTGTATTCTTATTTCCGAAGAACAGGTTGCATGCAAAACTCATGGAGCGTCGCAAGAAAGTTGCAATTGATTGCAAGTTGTCTTTGGATGTTGGAGTAGTGTGCAAATATGTATTTTTGCTCATAAAAGTGCATGCTTATTATTGATCGAAAGGAAAGGGCAATTTATGATAATAGGATGTATGTTTTAAACAACTATAGACATAGAAATTGTGAGATTTTCTCTATTGAAGTAATGTAATTTATTAACATTTATGTGTTCTGTGAAGTGAGAAAATTGCCCAAAGTGAAACTACCGTTATTGCAAATCCTTAGTAGTCACCTGAAAAATGAAAAGTGTTTTAAATTGATGCAAAATTCATATAATTACGAAGTATAGTATAGTGATTCAGTCATTGAAATGTTGCTAATCGTAATCGCATGCAAAAGTTGTGAAAGTTTAAGGTTTTAATTACGTGGTCAAGAAAATGTATAAAGGCTATAATTCACTTCAATTTATCCAAGTTCACCATCAAAGTGGAGAATACATGATGTAATTGGTCCTATTTTTAGCAACTTAACAAATGAATACTGTACATACATGTACATATATGTAGATAGGAATGTCTATCTGTGTTTACATGAAACTGTGATTTGTGTTTGTAAGCGTGCGTCAATGCAGTGCTCCTACGTCTTGCTTCGGCCTTCCTTTCATCCAATATGTATGGCTAGCATTAGGGTTCAACCCCCCCCCCCCCCCCCCCCCCCTCACTCCGGGAACGGAGAGACCGCATTCATGTTCCCAAAATCTCTGGTAAAGGGGTATTTTTCATGCAACAAAGTCCGGCTCGTAATACACAAATAAATCTGCCCGTATTGACTTTACACACCAGACGTAGAGGGGTGCTTTCGAAGGGAGGGAACATGCATATGCGTACCCTAAATAACACAGGTTTTAGCAAGATTAGGGTTAGGGTGACGTCCAGGTAACGTGTGTTGTCCAGGGTTGAATTTAAGAATTTGGTCAGTGTAGATTATTGACCGCTGAGCAGTGGTCACCGGAGCATGTGTTTTACTAGTCCGGAACCCAGCCGATTTAATTTAAAGCCCCACTGCACTACTTATAGCTACTTGTGCCCTCTACATAGCAAACAATACCTAAGCGGTGACCGTTGGTCCCCATGGTCCCCTTTTTCTTATGTTAATTGAGAGCCGATTTTATGAGATAACCATCGACCTGTCAGTGACCTTTCAGGGAGGTCTAATCCTTCCTGGCCAAACTAGTGCAGATAGGCTTCAAACAATATAGTGGGATCTGGTTATTACGAGGTCCTTTGGACCATGGAAATTGATGTTATATCGGGGTAAAAAAAACAAAAGATTGTAAAAAGCTGGGACCAGCACAATCACCATGTTTATAACATATAGAAGAAAGAATTTGAAAGAAAAAAGTAAGTTTTTGATGGCTTACCAAAACTGTACATACATCCGTAAATACATGTTATGTAGCCTGTAAATACCAATGTGTTTATTATTGTGTATATCATGAATGTAACGTAATTTAATCAGCTTTTCTGTTATATTGTCTGGAAAGAGTGGTGATCCTCTTTTAAAGATGTTTTTACCATGTCCAGTCTCTGTAAGATATGACACCTGTCTCACTCTATCTTGTCTTATATGTTTGCAGAATGTGGAATAAATGAATAAAATTAAAAGAGAAAATGTGTGTGGTTTTCTGTGTTACTATTGTATTATTTAAAGGGGAGAGATTTAGGCAAGGTAAGATAAGGTATTCATTCATGAATTTACGGATATTTGATTAAAAACATATTTACGATTCTATGTTTAACAATTATTCAAGATCATAAAAATTTATTTTACTGCAGAAAAAAAAAACATCGGGCAAAAGTAAAACGCAGAAAGGGAAGAAAGAAGTTAAGGAAAATCAAGAGGAAAGCGAAGGAATATTAAGGGAACGGGAGAGAGAGAGAGATAGAGAGGAACAAAGAGCTGGTATACAATTAAAAATCTCTTTGAAAAAAAAGGTTATTTCATCAAGTTATTGAAAATGCACTTCAAAGGAATTGACCTGTCGGGGAATTGAATTATAAAAAAAAAGTAATTTTGAGGCAAAAATAAAAGGTTCCACATTTATTGAACGCGGGAACGTTGCTACTAACTGCCGGAATCTACCAAAACTACCGAAAACGGGTCCTAAAGCAATTTTGAGTACTCTAAATGAGATATTGAAAACGAAAAAAAACTATATCAGTATACAGTGCACCTTCATGTTGAGATGATCGATGATGAATGGATTAACTATCGATTCATTCGCATTTGTCCTGGGGTTGGTTTATTGAGAAACTCATTTATCTGTTTATTAATGTAAATTATTTCTTCAATTTCTTCTTGAGGGACTTATTCACATATTTGTATTCATTTATCTATTTATTTATGATGTGCATTTATTTATTTACTTATTTATTTAACTGTTTATATTTGTATTTAATTTTTTTTTTAATAACTATTTATCTATCTATTCGTTCAATTGCTTAGTAGTCGTTCATAAATTCATGTTCTTTATCATCGAAAAGGGCCAATCTTCACGTTTTCCCCCGCTTCATTCGTTTATCTATTTTTACTCATTCGTTGTTTTTTAGTTTACTTATTATTTGCATTTCTTTATTAATTGTACATACTTCATTTAGCCCATTTTTAATACAGTCTACAAACACCACTTTTTCTCTTTCCCTTTGGCGATTGTTATATATAGACAGGTTTGACTGTATGCCTTGTTTCCTTTATTTGCTTATAGACATTTAATTAGGCCTACTGTTATTTAATTTATCATATATTCATGAGCTCTATAAATATCCATTTACGTAGTCTTTCACAGTCAATCTACCGTCTGAGTAAAAAAAAAATAGATAAATAATTTTCTATTCATTATTAATACCCTAATCTTATATATGTTGATATACTAGGCCTAATCTGGCCTCAGTTTTTAGTTCTTTGCACTATTTATTTTTATTATTCCTTCACTAATTTACTTCGATCTTTCATTAACTTAACTTAATTACATTCATGTAGGCCTATATGTATACATCTATTCCTGACAGTATTCAAAGAATTTCTGGGAACTAAAATAAGGATTCTTATTATTTGTTTTAATACCATTTCAATGTTTGCTTAAGGTTATGCATCAGGTAAATACTGAAGAAAGAATACTGACACATTTTCTGCAACATGTATTCATCTTTTTCTCGTATTACTCTTGAAACCTTGACAGAGTTTATTATTCTTTATGCCGAAGTCATTCCGGTAGATTCCTGCAATTAGTAGGACCCCCCCCCCCCCCCCCCCCCCCCGCGGCGAATATTTATATCGTAGGATAGAGAATGAAAATTGTAAATGCAAGTCACGAGTCAGTCTGATAAAAGGGCACTTCGCGTTGTCCATATCCTTTTGTCTTTTATTGCTTAACTCGGAAGCCCAATCTTAATCTTATAACCCTAAATCCTAAGCCCCTAATGGAACCCTAACCCTAGCCAAACACATTTATTACATTTGTATTACCAGTTGCGCCGGAAGCAGTTTGGGATTAGGGGGAGGGTGCAAACATTCCAGAGGGCTCACGTTCCAGGGGCAGTGGCGTAATGAGCAAAACAGTTTGGAAGGGGGGGCAGAAGAAAAATTTGCATCACTATCACTCTTACACGTTACATGCAGGCCCCGCGGAACGTTTTTCAAAGTAGAGAATTAACAAAAAGGTAGAGCGTAAATTGGCGTGGGGTCCAGGGGCTGAGCCCCCGGAAGCTCAGGGTTTTTAGTCATTAAATTATGATTAGATGAGCATCCAGGGGCCCTCTCTAAGGCCATTGATGTGGTCCAGGGGGGCAGAGCCCCGGAAGCTCAGGGGCATTATTAAAAGCACTTGCCGTCCTACGATTAAACACAATTGCCCTCGAAGGGGCTATTGTAATCGATTATCTAAGTATTTAGTAGTTGATTCCCAGTGTGATTTTATATATATTCTAAGATAAATTATATTACCTAGTCTATAAATAATTAATATAAATATTAAATCTTACATTTTTTAAAAATAAATTTATTTATTTCTTACATTAGGATATCAACTTTAAGATCATGTTTCCTTTCCTTTTTAAGAAATAAGTTCACTTGTCAAAATATATGTTTTATTCGTATTTATAGTTATTAGCACTAACGTTCCACACCTTCTACGCTGTCCAACGTAACAGCAGAAACAATTAAATCTCTTTTTGCCCAGCATTACACGATTATGTACTGTGAATGCTCAAAATTACTACCCAGTATTTGACGACCAATTGAATGGTTGTACGGCAACGTACGCGCATCTCAAAAACGTCATACTCACACACCGACAATCCATTGGAAGGCAAGTTACTTTACTCTTTCATTGTTTTATTTTTCATTCCAATTTAATGAATTACCAAGTTTCAGTTTCAAGGTTAAACATCGTTGTAACCATGTTACTCAACGAAACTTCAACCTAAATCAGTGTTACTTTACTTTTTTAATGTTTTATTTTTCATTCCAATTTAATGAATTACCAAGTTTCAGTTTCAAGGTTAAACATCGTTGTAACCATGTTACTCAATGAAACTTCAACCTAAATCAGTGTTACTTTACTTTTTTAATGTTTTATTTTTCATTCCAATTTAATGAATTACCAAGTTTCAGTCTTAAGGTTAAACATAGTTGTAACCATGTTACTCAATGAAACTTCAACCTCGATCAATATGCCTTGAATAGTGCACATTATGGAAGTCATTCTGATATTCAAGT